GGGAAGACCCAGGACACGCTGGAGGGACTATGTCTCTCGGCTGGCCTGGGAATGCCTTGGCATTCCCCCGGAGGAGCTGGAGAAAGTGTCTGGAGAGACGGAAGTCTGGGCATCTTTGCTTAGACTGCTGCCCCCGCGACCCGGCCCCAGATAAGCGGAGGAAAATGGATGGATGGATGGATGGAAACAAACCAAGCTTCAGCTCAGCTGATGTTTGCAGCTGAACTGCCACATGGGCAGGTGTTTTTATACGTTTGCATTTGTTTGTGCCAGCTGTTTCTGTAACACACATGCAAGTGTAATAAACAAATTTTAAGCGTCTCAGGATACTGAAGAATTCCTGTTCTATCACAGTAGTCTTTGATTACTGAAAACACTTTTCATCTTTATATTTTTTCATATTTATTCCATCTCTTGCAATCTCCAATAAAAATAATGTATTAACAATTATATCAATTATCAGAAATGTTAAATTCTGAGTCAACAAAATCCAGATAGCACCCATAATATCAGGCTTACAGCAAGAACACACACACACACACACACACACACACACACACACACACACACCCCAATCCTCCTTAGCTTTTACAAATACCCTCGTAGCCGACATGCTGGTTGGTTAGTTAGTGAGCAGTGTGCAGCAGAGAGCGGGTGACACGACAGCTAGCCAACATGCCTCCAGGCAGCTACACACACACAAACCATTTCTCCTCCTCTTCCCTACGTAGCTGCTAATGTGATACGGCGCACCACGTGGGGGTCCTTACCCCCTTTTTCAGCCAATCAGAGCTCCACGCTTAACACATCAGACCCAACAACACACTCACACACACGTGCATATGTACTATGTCAGGTTTAAAAGGTCAGCACACCGGAGCTTCACATGACACGCTGATGGACGTGAATATGATGAGAGAAATCACAGGAACGTTCCCAAAGATGGAGGGATAGACGGATAAAAGGCTGGAGAGGTGCAGATGGATGGAACAGGATGGGATGAAGGGATGGATGAGGAGCTGAAACATGAATGACTGCCACTGAAAATGCAAACGGCTCCCATCCCTGTTCACCTGCCTTGTAAACTGCCACTGTCTCTAGGCAAGAGGAGAGAGAGACAACACAGCAGTGCATCAGGACAGACAAGACAGAGAGGGGGATAGAGAGATTGAGTTATGTCCCCACACACCATGACTCATCTCCAGTTTCATACCCACAGAGGGAGGGAGGGAGGGTTGTGTGTAATGTGTGTGCGCAAGAGTTTGTTGAGAGAGAGTTTGAAGAGCATGGTCCATGCATCTGTACTTGAACAATGGGAACAAGAGGCACAAAGTTGGTGTTGGTGTGTGTGTGTGTGTGTGTGTGTGTGTGCATAAGCTTAATGATGATGTGTGTGATGGTGGTGGTGGGTGGGGGCGCTGTCCATTCATGGTAACATTTAACAAGTCTCCAGACAATTAATTGAATCAAGGCTAGAGCCACTTAAACCTCATGTGTTGATAAAAATTGATAAAATGCGGATTTAAAAATCTTTAAAAGGTTCTTCGGGCAATAATAAGGCAGAAAATCACGCCAGAAGCAAAACGCCCAATTTACACCGCTTTAATCCTGTTCATATCTGGCAGCCAGCATCAGCACCTGCATCTGTCACGTCCGTGTGTTGTTTTGTTTAAGGTAAGGATGCAACAGCCACACACACACAACATGCAAGCCAGATATACAGAGTGCTCTGGCTTAGAGGTAAACAGCCACTCCCCCTCTTCTAAAACCAGCTAGATCTGCACAGTACGAAGGAGGAGGAGGAGGAGAGGGTGAAGGAGACTGCGAGTTGCTCTAATTCCTTACTGTGTGTATGTGTGGTTGTGGTTGCGTGCTCAGCCTTCCAAAAAGCAATGCTGCTCCCTCCTGTCCCCCCCCTCGCTGTGGAAAAAAGGAACCTGCAAATTCTCCAGGGACTGTGCACGTTTGGTGCCATCACCCTGCGCGCAAACCTGCTGTTCTCCAAACAACTTCATCTTATATCCTTCACGCGTTTGTGTTCCAGGTTACTTGCTTTCACACTGGCCTGCATGCTACAATTCGCATTCCTCGCTACACTGCTGCAAATGAGTCTATTTGTTGCAATTACGCGGAAAAATAACCACGCTTGGACACTCCCCAAATGCCCGCTTTCACACTTGATTCCCACCGGGGCGCGTTAATGTTAAGTCTGCAGCATAACATGACCAAGTTTACCCTGTGAATTCTATCTGCGCGCGCACAGGCTCCGGCTTCAGCTGCGTTATTTGCCTTTTCTTTATTGCACCGCACTCGCTGACCCACATGCACCCTTCAGGCTCAGTGTAATTGGTAGCAACAAATATGTTACTGCCGATGCCTGTGACTAACAAGCCCGCTGCAAAAGTGCGCACAGTGCCCCGCTAGCCTAGCACTGATTCTAGCACTAGCGGCAGCAAAGTGGACTTCCGAGGTCCTGCAACACTCCGCTTTTAGAGTTTTGCATTTCATTGCAGTGTTAGTTCTTTTCTTTGCCTTTTTAAATTTTATTTATTTATTTGTTTGTTTACTTATTTTACCTTGATTGCAGTCAGCTTTGGGTGCAGAAACGTCCTCAGTGCTGGACGGCGAGCGATTCCTGGAGATTAGGAGATCATTGAGAGCCAGACACATGTAGTTTTACAGTGGATGATTAGCACTAGTTCCGTTTGCACACTCGGTGCCCTGGCAGGCTGCTAGCAGAGCTGCTCAGCAGCCCCGACTCTGAATCCACGTTGGATGACAGGACTGTCCCTTCCCCTCCACTCCCTTCCCTTCACGGTGCGCGCTGACAGCGCGTCAGCTCTGCAAAGACCGACGGCCCAGTCCAAATCCGATATAAAATCCAAAAGTGGCAGCCGGGCTGAGTTGCAGCCTCTGCAAGTCTGCGACAGCGAACACGGCAGTGCCGCGGCTGTTCACGGTGTATCAGGCTGCGAGGTGCGCACAACGTACCTCTCACAGGAAAGCATGTCGCATTTTGCAAAAGCAGCCCAAACGTCGTGTCAAAATCCGACTGTTTTCCTCTCCGGTGCCAGCGGTGCGGGAGGAGGGGACGGAGAAGCAAGAGGAGGGGGGAGGAAAAAAGAAAAGGATGCTTTATTTCCAAACGATGAGTCAGAAAAGATCGCAAGCCAGTTTCGCAACGTCCCTCCTTCAAAAATAAAACACTGAGCTCTCCTCGTCTTCACTTGCTGCCTTGCCTTGCTTCCACTCCTCTGCCCGGTGTTACGTGCGCACTGCTCTCTACAAATGCACAGGCGGCCCTTGTCTTGCTGCCTCTCTCCCCACCACCAGAAAAAAGACAACACAGAGAAAATTCTGCTCTTATCATCAGCTTGAAAACTCTTTTGGCGCCATATTTATGGCGTACTTTCAATTCGCTGTTACCGCAAGCTGCACTTCCTCCTCTGAGAAACGCTGGATGACTGCGCCTCGGAGAGGAGACGACGGGGACTGAACCTTCACCTGCCAATTCTCAGCCAGTGGTATAGGCTCACTTTGGCTTCAGAAATGTTGAAATAAACAGCTGTATCAGCTCAGTGATCACTAACCAGCTATTGCCGCAAGTTTTATAAAATTATTTTCTGCAGAAAAGGTTAATTTATTAATGACGACTCAATGCATCTGAACAGTATCTGCATGCGGTAAAAAGATTTTTTTTTTTTGCAAAATGTCACCTTAAAATCTTGTGGTCTTTTATTGAAATGTTAACTTTGACATGATACTGGACTCATGTAGAATCTAAGATAATTTACAAGTTACAAATTTGTAGTATTTGTTTTTTATTTTCGATCTGAACTCATCCAGGTATTTTTAAAGGCAACGCTGTATTATCATCATCCCTCTTAACTTGTGGCTAATTAACTGGCAGCTGGAGCTTCAGCTTAAAGTGAAGGTCTGTAGTTGCACTTGACTCTCAATGTTAATATCTCTCCACTGGTGACTGAGCTGCTCATAGTGATCCAGATGGAACTGTTGGCAAGTAAATGATCTTTCTTCACATTTCAGTAACATCTATATTGAATAGGGAAGGAGGGTGTTTGACCATTCGATGTCTCTAAATCACTGTCCTCTGCCTGTTACCAAGCAGGGCTATATTTTCTTTGCTTTCTCCAAATAGTGTAGTTTGCAGAGCACATTTCAGTTTTCACAAACAAATGTGTCTGAATCCCCATCTCATTATTTCAGCTTTCCGCTCTGTATCTGTGCAGTGACCCACAGTGCATCATCTCAACTGCTGTAATTCATTTTCATTTAGCTTTTTTTGGATCTGAAATGTCTGGTCAACAAATGGAACAATTCTGCTTGTATCAAACACGTAGACCTGCGAGCATATGTGCACCCACACACACAACCACAGGCAGGAATGTTGGGTGCACAAACGCTCATGTCAGCTGTATCAGGTGACACTCAGAAGTGAGAGGGGGGTGGGGGGGTGCTGTTTTGCACAAAGTGAAATGAGGCGGTGAAGGACACAGAGAAGCAATTTCTCTGGCACACCCTCAAATGCAACAGCAGCATCCCACAATTTGTCCTCCCCTGCCTCTCCACCACAAAACTGGGGTACATACTGTAGCCTGCGACCCTCTCTGTGGTCATTTTAATGTGTGCTAATAGAATTTCCTGGCTGATGAGATGCAAACGTTGTTTATTTAGGAAGCGGATCCACCCAGATCTGGGTCAAATAGTGGCTGTACTTTGTTTAATCTGCTGAGTGCACCAGATGGGTGGAGTTTACAGCTCTAGAAAATGTGTCATTGTCACTGATATGTTGTTAAAGATGCTGCATGTAGCATACCATTAAATTATCAGCATTGGTAACTAATGACTCAGTTGCTACAACTCAGAAAGAGAGAAAGTAAAAGTAGGCAGGATTATTGCAAAGCTCTTGTGCTGAACTAAATTAGACTGTACAGAGACTTACAATGTTCTATGTATAAAATAAACTGTCTTTACTCGGGCAGCTCATCTTAACATATTATTTCTGATAAACTTTATAAAACAGGAACAATCTCCTGTCACTTATCCTTCTGTTCTGTGCTTGCCAAGTGGAACAGTTAAAAACATACTGTATATATGTCATATCCTCACCAGAAATGTCCAACAGTCATGGCAGGGTATTTCTCCACGAGAAGTCTGATTGCCTCAGTATATCCCCCTCAGTCCTGTTGTGTTGTATTTCCGTCCTGGGGTTGCCATCATTCAGTGAGCAGAAATCCTGGCCCATAAGAGGCCATAGTATTTGTAGAGGGCACAAAAAGTCATTGCTATATTCATGTAGAGAAAGTTGAAACCTAATGTAAGAGAAATTATTAAGCAGAGGTTGAAGACAGTAAAACTTTGATAAGTAAAAGTAGCAATGCCATACTAGATTTAAAAAAAAGTAACTATGGTAGCCAAATAAATTGTTGTAGAAATCTGATCCAGTACTTGTCATAATGTGGAGAGGTGCTGTGGAAGCCTCCTGTGACCCAGACTCACTGAACAGCACCAGCAGCAATGCAGACATGTCAGCTTCTAAAAGGTTTTGAGCAGGACTGACCTCTCTGACCAGTCAGAGATTTTCAGTTGTTTCTGCTTGATCATTAAGTTTTGTTGCATTGTCCATCCATCCATTATCTACCCGCCTATTCCTGAATAGGGTCGCGGGTGGCTGGAGCCAATCCCAGCTGACATTGGGCGAGAGCACATGTCACCAATATATCACAGGGCTGACATGTCAACAGACACCCACACTCACGCCTACTGGCAATTTAGAGTCACCAGTCAACCTAAGCTGCATGTCTTTGGACTGTGGGAGGAAGTTGGAGTACCTGGAGAGAACCCATGCAGGCACAGGGAAAACATGCAGACTCCACACAGAAAGGCTAGGCGCTCGAACCCAGAACCTTCTTGCTGTGGGGCAACAGCACTGACCACCATGCCAATGCACCACCGTGTTGCACTGTCATTTCTTGTAATTTCATATTCTTTTAGCTGTAAGGAGGCTAAAAGAGGACTTTATGGGGCAAGACTGGGAAGCAGTTTACAAAGATGAAGACTTAGACAAAGCATATGAGCAATCTTTAAATATATTCATGAAAGTATATGACAGGAACTGTCCTCGTAAGCAGTATAAAAACAAAAGGAATTACAGTGGGAAACCGTGGATGAGTAAGGGATTACAGAATGCATGTAAAAAGAAGAATGTGTTATATAAGGAATTCATAAAGGACAGATCAAAGAAGGCGGAAGAAAAATATAAGTCATATAAGAA